TAATGTAAGAAATCTATCCACACACAGTCTTCAATGTGTAATGATTCCAATATCAGAGGGAAAACTAGAGTTTGAAAAAGAGAGAATAAAATAAAAATGGTGCTACTGATGACCTGTCACAAGCAATACTTTGCCTCTAATCAGTTTCCCAAATGTGTCATATCCTTTCCTCTTTCTGGGCAGTCACGCAGATTGCTCTTTCTACCTACAGCAGCTGTCCCCATTCTCTTGTCCTCCCCAACTCCACAGCTAGGTGTCAAGTTGCAACTGGGCAGGTGTTTCTTCCCAGTTAGGGGCCCCCCCGTCTAGTGCTTTTTCTAGCAGAGCACTAAGTACACCTGATGCGTCTTGCTTAGCTCTCTGTTTTCCTCTCCAGAGGGCTGTACGGCCACAGGGTCCACCTTACATTTTATCTAAGCTCCAAATTCAATGCCTGGTCCCCGGCAGACAATAAAAAAAATATGTCAAAGCAATCAATGATAAATTACTGATTTTACTCACTTAACATGTAACGCTACATCAAGTTTTTCTTTTTACTTTTCTTGGCCTCCAACAGTGTGTACTTAATTTGCTTTAAAAGCAAATTGCTTTTTAAAATTACATAAGTGACACGGTGATGATGGAAAATTTTAGAGATGCAAGAAAGTTAAATCGAAAGGCAAAAATATCCATTTACTCATTGCCAAAAGTACAACACTAGCAGCCCTGTACCTTTTGCATAAATTTTTTTTTTTTTTTTTTGAGACAGAGTTTCACTTTGTTGCCTAGGCTAGAGTGAGTGCCGTGGCGTCAGCCTAGCTCACAGCAATCTCAAACTCCTGGGCTCAAGCGATCCTCCCTGCCCTCAGCCTCCCCAAGTAGCTGGGACACAGGCATCGGCGCCCACCCATGCCCCCGGCTAATTTTTTCTATATATCTTTTAGTTGGCCAACTTAATTTCTTTCTATTTATAGTAGAGACGGGGTCTCACTTTTTTTTTTTTTTTTTTTTTTTCTTTACAGATGTATTCCACAATTCAATCTGGGCTGCCACAAGACAGACCCAGAAAGCGCAGGAATTTTTCTTTCGCATCCCTAGTGCAAAACCAAAAGAAGCAACAGCAAATGTTCAAGGTCTATCAGTCGGATGCAGGGGGTCTCGCTCTTGCTCAGGCTGTTTCGAACTCCTGACCTCGAGCAATCTGCCTGCCTCAGCCTCCCAGAGTGCTAGATTACAGGCGTGAGCCACCGCACCCGGCCTTGCATAAAGTTTTAAATAAAATTGATTAAACACAAAAAGAAATGTTACTACTGAAAAAAATAAACAAAGGATTCTGGT